GGATCAATTCTAAACTAGGCAGTCCATAAGAGACAGCACCCTGAGAACAGGCTCAAATTTAAAACCAGGTAACTATCTCAACTATAGAGCATACCAGGAAAGATGGTCTTTCAGGTATGCAAAGATTCAGTTTCTATAGAGGTAATGAGTACGTGCTTACATAAAGAGTTAAACACCAGTGCAGATCTTAAATTACTGATGTTGTGCACTCTTATAAAAAGAAATTCAACCCAGTATACAAATAGTTGGATTTCCTGCTATTTTCAGCTTTCAACTGGTTCTGCATCTCCCCTCCCACGCACTAAAGATAACCACAGAGTAATTTCAAGCGATCAAATAAAGCTTTGATAAACTGGTCTTTCAAGGACTCTTTCTGCTGGGTATAACTGAGCACATACTTTGTGTTTCTCCCACTTGAAGCCAGTTAGTTCCATACTACATTTTAGTAGCAATATGCACTGATATGAAATATGCAATTTCCATTAACTATAACAAATACTTATACTTAGTTTTTTATCTTCATGTGAGGTACAGGAAGCAGGAGACAACTAGGTTCAGATTCTATTACTACTACATTACCATTACATTACTACCATTTGCATTTCATCATCTTAAATCCATTCCCATAAGACCATTTACTTCTTCAGGATGTTCTTCCCCAAATCCCTCCATTTCCTTCCATTTCCCCTTTCCTGCCCTTCCCTCTCCTCATCACACAAAAAAGCAGCAACAGTGCCAATATACAGCCTCTGGTATGTGGCAGTTTCCGCTCTCTGCCAAGCTATTCCACGCATTTAATTCTGAGGTGAAAATACTTTCCTAAGATTTCACTTCTATTTGGTCTTTGTAAATGACCCCCAAGCATAACAGTTCCTCTCATGACATTATTTCCACATACCTCATTGTGAGTCATATGCAAAAAAATTCACTGCTTGACCACAAAGGCAGACATAGTCTTTACTAGAAACACGACTGCTGATGAGATACGAAAATTCAAAACTCCAGTTTAGCTGATTGCATAGTGAAAACAATTTCCATTTAGTAACATACAAGTGTAGTAGGATAAATGGATCTGTAAGATAAGGATAAAATAACACTTTGACTAACTTTTCTGAGGTGGTGATCTCCTCATTACTTGTTCAAGACAAACAACATCTCCATAATTAAAAGCCTGAACTCAACCAGATTTAATAAAGCTAAAGAAACCATGGGGATCCTCGGTTTACTAAATGTTCCTTTCTTTGTTGTTTCTTCTAGAGAATAACAAGAGAGAGAGAGAAACCAAACAAATATAAATAATAATTAATTGGACTGTTCTGTTGAACACGCCTTAATCTTCTTTAGTTCCAGAAGCTAAATAAGGTAAAAGCTCTAACTAGTGAAACAAGGGGCAAGGCAGCCAATTTCAAAAGCTTGCTATCCCCTAGTCAGGGATAGAGAGCCGGTAAGAGGAAATTTAAGTGCTTTACCCTGAACTTTTGGTTAGGTTTAAAATTCCCAGTGGGATTCCTTGTGCTCTGGGCAAGGCCACCAGCCCTCTCTCATTTTCATATAGTGGAGAATCTCTTAGGATTCTTGATGCAGCTAGAAAACACCCACAGGAGACCTAATAGTTATAGGAACAGCATGAAACACAATAGACCTGATTAAGAGCAGCAATCCCCATTGTGCAAGCTCACACAGAAGCAATACTCCAGCACTGGTCCCTCCCGAACTGAAGAATTACAACTGTTATTTCCAAGTTGCAGAAGCTGTAGTTGTGTTTGTGGTGCAATACATAGACTCCTTACGATTTGCTATTCAATACTCTAGGTCTCTACAGATTGTTATCAGTTGCACAAGTTTTATGAGAAGAGGTTGACCTGTTACAAGTGACTTATATCCATCTGAAAAAATAGCCAACCAAAGTTCCAACATGGATTAGACAGTCAGGTCTTAGGAACAGTTGTGAAAAAGCAGCATGTTCCAACAGCTCCCTCTCAGGAGGTACCTGTAGCCAGCATACAGTTGCAAAATCCACCAGAAGAACCATTTGGAGGCTAAACTGGAAACAGGTAACCAAAATTCTCTAAAACTAGTCACTGAGGTTTGCTGTAAGAAATGCAGAGACATCATTTACTTGCAAAGCTCTCTAGAGTATGGATTCACAAGGATTTCTCAAAATGAAACACTTCTAAACAGTTACAGCTTCTACATGCCCGAGAGGAGGGTGAGGAACAGTTGGGACCACTAAACCAAGGTGCTTTCAAACCTTTAGGTGATCTCTAATGGGGAGGAGTGGAATTACTGACTCGTCTAGCTTTTGCATACCCCTGAGGACACACCAGCTCCCTCATAGCTCTTTAGGAAACCTTGAACAAAACAGAGTAACGTGGACTGGCAAAAGCAAGTGGTTCCATCCACAGTCTTACAGGATTGATAATTTTGAAGTTGGATGTCCTTAAGCAAAGCTAAGTAGCTACATAAATTACCCTCAGGAAGGCTAGAAAAGCAAGGTGCTGTTCAGGCTGAACCAAGAACTCACTCAGCACTCACCTCACAGTGGGTAAGGCTCCTTATATAAAGCTCTGAAATTAAGCAAATATGATTCATGTTTGGTTTCTAGCTTCCAGGCACAGTTTCTAAGTGTATTTGTTGTTAAATAAATACAGACACCAAGTTCAAGATGCAGTACCACAAAGCTGTTAGATTATTTGTTCTCCTGAATTATGCATTACTTTCACCTGGTATGCAGTTTTGCTAATGCAAGTACCCCATAAAGCCCCAAATTCCAGCATGTCTATATGCCATATGGACAAGCTTCTCCAACTGTCTGCTCCTCATGGAAATTCTATTTGTTTTCCTATTGATTTTATTATGTTTAACAGCATACTAAATCATTCCTGAGGTTGACAACTTTCTGGAAAATTGATATATGCTGTCTAAAACTGCCTGAGGCAGGAATAAACCCAAAACAAATGGCTTCTTTTAAACTCTTGATTTGCATTACTACAGCCAGGCATACAAGTGCCATCTTGCTTAGTAGAAGAATTCTTCTCCTTTGTGTAATATCTGAAGCACAGGAAATCTTTAGAAGCTCTTCTTATGGATCTGCATATTAGGGGAAGGTGATTGCAAAATACCAGACTATTTGAGTGAGGGTGGGACTAAAAAAGCAGATTGTCATCCAAGATCAATGGGTGGATTTTCTCTCTGGGGAGAGGTGGAACTATGTGTAGATGCCTTGGAATCTACAGCTTAAGGCAAAAGTAGAATTTTTAATGAGACTTAAAGACTCATATTTAATTCTTCTCCCAAGAAACTGTACTTTAAAGCAATTAAGTAAGATCAGGATGAAGCTGGGGGTTGTTTGTTTTAAAATTTTGAAGGCATCACCATCAAACAGTACGGAATTTGTTTCAAAGACTGGACTTCATCTCAAATGAGAAAAAAATTCTTGGTTCAGAAACTAAAGGGGAAGATGAATTAGAGAAAGCAGTTTTTATGCTTTGATGTCAGAAATCTGAACACCACAAGAATTCAAGAGGAAAATCGATTAAGAAGAAATAATTTTTAAATCTCCAAAGGTCTGAAAAAAACTAAGAAGGTCATATGCACACATTTTCATCTCTGTTAGACTCCCATTAGGCTGTTTTAACTGCTGTGTTCTGGCAAAAAAAGAAAGAAATTGCAATGGAAAAATATTTTTATGGAAAGTAGTTAAGGCACTGCACTGACAAATAATGACACTACATTTGCGGAGCTGCAGACATTTAAGACATATGACATGAAGTCATGTACTTCCCATTTTGGTGTGATTAAACACATTCAAACAAATGGAGATGATATTTTCCTACAGTGCCTGTGATGACACAGAATAAGCTTCTGTGTTCTACTCTGGAGAAACTGAACTACACATGAGTATGCACATTGAATTGTGAGTAAGCAAGAAACCTCCTGTGAGTTAACAGGGAGAAAAATAGTCTCAAGGAGATGTCTTGCATGTAGAGAACCTTGCAGTGAAGCTAGTAAGATCTGTCGCCTTTTTTCCAACCGCTAAATGATCCCATTATCTCCAAAATACACTGTCTACAGCTGGCTCTTAATTTTGAAAATAAAAGCATAGAGCTGGGAGATTAAATCATGCCAACCTTTTCCTAACTAGTATATAGACCCTGTGCCAACAGCTTGTTCTGGTTCCGGCCAGGACACAGTTAATTTTTGCAGCAGCCAGGCAGAAGCATGGCTAGGACACAGAGGTTATTCTATACCACCATTTCATTCCCAGGGGTTGGGGTGAAGGCAGTCTTTTCCAAGGAAAAGGGGTTCCTTCCAGTCAAGTAAACATGGTGGAGGGAGCCGGCCGGTATCGATTGTCTCTTGTTGGGGATGGGGGGAAAACCAGTGTGTGTTAAGTGTGAATCATTTTTTTTCTTCACAAGTACTCTTCACAAGTACTGTTGCTGTTACTGTTCGTTTTCTTATCTCATTGCTGTTTCCAGTAAAGTTTTTTTATTTCAACCAGTGATCTTTGCCTTTTGAAACACCACCAAACCACCACAAAACCAAAAAGTTTCTAGTTGGAAGAAACAAACCTCATGCACTAGGCACTCCTAGCAGGAAACACTAAGCATTCTTACTAAAACAAAAGTCTAGAAAAGCTTTTCAAGCATCTACAACAGCAAAATGATTTTTACAGAGAATCATGCCTTCACAAACATTGTCTGTGAAAACACGTGTTGAAAAATTATTCTCCACTCAGAACAGGCAGAAAAATACATTATATCAAAGATGGAAAAAACATTAATGTCAAGTTGAAGGAATCCAAGACAGAGCAACGTCAGGCCATGGGCTGTAGTCTGGTATTACAGCTCAGGAAAGCGCATAATGTTCAGAAGGTCAGGCAAGTGCATCCTCACAAGCTGCATCCTTAAGTTGAAGTGTTACTGATTGAGAACATGTTGGAAAGAAAGATAACTAGGACTGTTAAATCACTTGTAGAACAGTACACTGACAAAAGATGGTCAGAAGTGTTTTTATTTTGCACAAGAGTAGAACAACCTAAATGTTTTTTGACACTTCTAAGCAAACTTCCTTAAACTACAAGGTACATCCAACTGTGTTAATCAATGATAACTGAACAAGCAAAAACAATACAGGTAAACAGACTTCCTGTAATGTTGGTCAAATAAATTAAAGCTGAATATTTCTGAACCATCAATAGTCTTAGCAGATGCTCTTTTTTCAGTCTACTTTTCAAGCAATGTCATGACCACCTAGCTTAAAAAGATCACTTTTTTCTCCTAGGTGCCCTCTTTGAGACTCTCAACCACAAAACAGACAAACTGAATGGCTGTTTTTTGGGAAGAGAGCTGTAAATATGTCTGCTCATGCAGTATTGACTAAAGATTAAGACAGCAAAACTTGCACAGACAACAGATAAGAGATCTGTCTGACAGCCCACTGGAACTTCATTTGGTCTGCAGACAAAATAACAAGGTTGCTTGGAGGTAATCAAAAAAACTGTTCTAGCAATTATTAACAGAAAGGATTAATGAAATGTGGAAAAACCTAAATTGAAATAAAGAAAGAAAAAAAAAGGCTGAAGGTTTCAACACTCTCATTAAATGCCTCCATCTCCAGAACCTTGCTGACATTACTCATTTACATAATCCTTTAAAATGAGCAGTCACTGAAAACCCTCTCACAAAACACGAATAAGATCCAACGTTATCCTCAATCGAGGAATATCAACATTAAGCACTTTAACTTCAACTCTTTCTCCAGGACCTAGGCCGAGGCTTCTTCTCTTCTTCACTTTAGAAAGTTTTGCTTCAGTTATGTTTCGCACTGGAATCAAACCCGCTCTTCCCACACCAATATCAACAAAAACTCCAAACTGCGTCGCATTTTCAACTTTTCCAGTCAGAACAGCACCAACACTTAAGTCTTCAAAGCACACTATGCTTCTCTTGAAATCAGGTTTACCAAAATCTGTTATAAGAAACAAGAAACACAAGTAAGACTCTGGAGAAAAAGGGTTTCTAAGGTTTCTGAGTTGTTTCCAGATGATAAGAACTCCTCCCAAGGTAGCTCTAAGGTCCCAAGTACTGCTTTCAGAACCTTTTTTAAATAAAGACCTATTTGTGATTAACAATTTATTTCTTGTATTTTATTTATCACTTTAAAAGACTTTGATTAATGGAGTAATGAATATAGTGACTCCACGGTATGAAACTATCATGAGGGGATCAGAAGTGTGTTGTATAGTAGCTAGTGACTGAAAGATTCTCTACTCTCTTTTATTTGCTTACAGATCCACTGCTGGCCAAGGCCGAGCCCATCAATGATTGTGCCTCTGGGATATGTATTTAAAGGGAAAAACCCCCTGTGCAACAGCAATTGCAGTCAGAGAGAGAAGTGAGCACATGTGAGAGAAACAGCTCTGCAGACACCAAAGTCAGGGAAGAAGGAGGAGGAGCTCCAGGCACCAGCTGCCCCTGCAGCCCGCCGCAGTGGAGACCATGGTGAGGCAGGTTGTCTCCCTGCAGCCTATGGAGCCATATGGTGGAGCAAAGATCCACCTGCAGCCTGTGGAGGGCCCCACACCAGAACAGCTGGATGCCTGAAAGAAAGCTGTGACCCCATGGGAAGCCCACGCTGAAGAAGGCTCCTGGCAGGACTTGTGGACCCGTGGAAAGAGAAGAACATGGTGGAGCAGGTTTTCTTGCAGGACTTGTGACCCCATTGGGGACCAACACTGAAACAGTCTGTTTCTAAAGGACTGCACTCTGTGGAAGGCACCCACGCTGGAGCAGTTCATGAAGAACTGCACCCCACAGGAAGAACTCTCGATAGAGGAGTTCATACAGCTGTACAAGTGTAAGAACTAGGCTGTCCGCTCCAGTCATGGAATCTGTCTAAAGTAATACTGAATGTACTAGATCAGCAAAATATTAATATTTCCACCAAGGATTCCATTTTGTTTTTGTGTCCCTATGTTAATAGTCTATCCTATTATACAGACCACCAGAACAAAACGAGACATAGAAAATACACATTTTCAAGATAGCTAGTGGGAAATATTTATAAAATATGCACAGAAACTATTAATGAACCCAAAAAAGGGAGGCAGAAACATTGGTTTGGGTTTTTATAAGCATAAGTTTATTATTTATTACAAGCCTGCATCTTTGCTGCCTACCTTTATCTCTTGTTGTCGTAAGAGAATCCAGCTGTAAGTTGCACTAAACGACAGCATCTCCAGATGTTTCACCTCATTACTTACCTCATCTTTCTTCTCCTCCACCTCAAACTGTTCAGTACTACTGCAGGTTTTAACTAAGGTAGGTCATGAGCCACATGCTACAGTTACACTTGTCACCAAGAACTAGTGCAATAAAAGAGCAGAACTACACACTACCATATTACTGCCCCACAGAACTTTATTACTATTTCACCTTGGTCTCAGCATTCTCCTCTGTGATGGAGAGCCAACACGGATTTAATCAGCATAGAGTTAACATATTGAAACTATTTCATTTGTTAACAGCCATACAACTCCCTTTCCTATGGCTGAAAATGCTGTGATTTAAACAGGATTCACACTCCTTACCTACAGAACTGGAAAGAAACATCTGACTATGATATAACCTTTACCTTGCCTGAGAAAAGAAATGGAGTTTCATGTCCTTGAAAATCTACTACTACTTCAGAAGAAGAAAATGTGCTGTTTTAAAACTGGTAAGTAGAACAATCAAACTGAGATTACAACCTTCCAAACCAAGGTTTACCTGTACGAATGTCATAGCCTTCAGGCTGAGTCAGACCATCAATGATCAGCTGCAGCGTGTGCACTGTGGTATTCAGCCTCTTGGCTGTGCCTTCCAGTCCTTCCCTTTCAATTACTGCACTTACTTTTTGCTGCATATCCGATTTTCCTATGTCATTTGCGTTTCCTCCAATCAAGGATAAAAACCTGGGAAATTCAAACAAAGATAGAGCGATTAGAAACATCCTTTAGTGGGAACTGAACCTTTGCTCTATTTAGGGCTTTTAATTACTTTTTCACTGATGCATGAACAAAATTTTTGATAAAAAACATGAACAGTGAACAGTTTCTCAAGTCCATATCCTCTCAACTCATCACTGATCTGACACATAAATGGAAACTTAGAGTCTATCTGTATTCATGTATCTTCTGGAATAGATTATAAAACTAGAAGCAAAATTTTAAAGTGTAAATAAATCTCTTCTCAGACCAATGATTTAATCTCACGATAAAACCACATTTCATTATGACTGAAAGATGTCTTTTACCATGAAAGTTCCCTAGAAATAAGGGAGAGTTCCATAACACTGTCATTTTTATTGTCACTCTCATTCAAATTAAAATGAATGGTCATTTAGTTAAGCAACAATGAACATTCAAAATATTAAATTAATATGAAGAATCTTTAACCCAACTTAAAAACTTCATATAAAATACCTCCCTTGTCTATGAACTCCATGATTAAGAACAATTAGTTTTTCAGAAACTAGGTAGTCATCAAGTCAAAGTACTCACACACCGTAAACACACACCTTTTCTTATTGTCACATATATACCCACACTGCAAATTGAGACAAATTTGGACTAGCACGTAAAAAGCTGAAAAGAAATACTTTAAAATAACTATGACTTGACCTGTGATCCCTTTTTTTTTTTTTTTAAACAAAAGAAGAAAACCCAAACACAATTACTGAGGTTTTTAATTCTGCCATGTTGGTACATGTCTGAGAAGCACAGAGAAGACAAAAATTCACATGCAGACCCCATCCTTATCAGCAGTGATGCCTTAGACAATGTTTATTTATCACTGAATAAACATCCTTATTTCACTGAAGGACTTGAAAATGTACACCAAGACTTTAATGGATATCAACCAATGAAAATGAGGATGCAGCTCATAGAAGCTAGGACAAATTGTACTAAATAAAGCAATTTTTTCTTTTCTCAGTAGATGCTTCAGTTGTCTGTCCTGCTGCCCTGATCTGCATCTCACCATGAATAAGCCTCTTCTACCCTGCTTTATCATGTTCCTTACTTTGGGACAGAGGCACATACTTTTTTGCATGTTTTCCACCACAGCAGACAGAATTATTGACCCTGTCCTGCAGAGTCCGAGTAAATGTTCCTTCCAAATTCCTAAAAGAGATCTCTCCTTTCTATCCTTATCCTGCTTCTCAACAGGTGTAAAATACCAGCCTCAAAAGAAGTGCTGACCAGCAGGTTCATGCCCTGCACTTGTCAGGAGACATTCCAGCTCTCTTAAGAAAGCAGAAGCCCCTGGTACTCAACCTTCTCCCCTCCCATCCCCCAAAATACCTGCTGTGCTTTTTATCAAAACCTGAGGCTAGTATTTCTTTTATCAGGAGACCCAGTGGGGTTTTTTATTTTTTTTTGTTTGTTTTGTTTTCTCTTTTTTAACCCAAGAAACCCAACTGAGATTATTTCAGCTGGTGAGCAATAAAAAGTTACATGGAGTGAAATACAGAACTAAATTTCTTTTTGAGAAAATATAAATTGAAGAAACATAATTAAAGCAATATCTGACTTCAAGTAAATCACAAAATTAATCTTTGAGCATAAGGGCAAAGCTTAGCTTAAAAATGTCCACTAATTTCACTAAAAGGAGGAACATATGTTCTAAAAGGATGTAACATCTGTTACAACTGGCTGTCAGGACTTCCACTTCTACACTGAGTTTGAGTGCAAGCATAGTGATTTAAGTGTACTGGTTGCTCAAACACAAAGATTTGCATTTAATAGTGATAATTTTCATATTAAATTTTTTAGTGCATACACACCTTTCTTATGGCAATGTATGAAGAAGAAAATTAATAAGGACTCAGGGAATGGTGCTGTTCTCAGGATTAACTGAATTTTGTTTTGACTGTATTTCAACTTTTGACACCACTTTTTAAAGTAGTTTAAGGTGGTTTTGAAGCAAGGCACATAACAAAACAGATATAAAATGGTTTATAATATTAAATGCAAAATTATTTATAATATTAAGTGCATTTTTTTCCTGCAAACTAACAAAAACCCACCACTACTACTCAAATATTTTGTCTAATAATATATATCTGAAAAAAATCAGACATTCTATGAAGCCATTTTCTTTCAATCTCAAAAGAGCATCAAAAGTGGTTGCAATGATAATACTGAAAATGAGCATAGGCCCAGGTGAAGGACTCGTCCCAAAAATACTGGAGGCTGCTGGTTGCTTACACTGATGGATGGACAATGCCACACCAGAGCACTAGTGACAGGCGGCAGCTGCCCCAGCTTTGACTGACGTGCCAGATGTAACATGACAAACCCGACCAGCCTCATGACTCAACCTTCTAAATAATGTATGCTTTACCACCCACCCCTATAAACAAGTTTGCTGACATTCACATACTTGGCTTTATTTCACTTCAAATGGAAACTCAGCTTGAGTACGTCCAAGTAACATTTTCTCACCATTAGAACTTCGCAGAAGCGCATTCGCTTTGTAAATCAATAACGGGGTGGGTTTGGCCACTAGTAAGTGCAACCACATGGAACAGCCAGCACCATATATTGAAAAAACCCTGTTACATACAAAACTGACAAATGTGTGGATAATGCAATCAGAGTGAATGGTGCTATGTGCACACCACTGCAAGAAAACCAGCCTGAAACAGGACACAACCCAGGTGCCTGAGTCTTCAGTTACTATTCATGAAAGACATTTCAACCCCCTAGTCCTTCCCCTGCCACCACTACCCTCCAGAAATCCCAAATTATCCATTTGATATCAAAAAGGATTCCTCATCTAGGCAAGGGTGGTAGGTTTGGGCCCTACGTTATCAATTACAGTTGTGCAAATAACTTATTAATGTGGTTACTGCTCACAATAAAATTTTGGCCCTACCTGAAGGTGATGCTTAAACAAGTCTAAGTACAGGAGAAGTCCCATCAACTTCTACAGAATTTTAATGCTCTAAAAATCAAGCATTTTGTTAAGGATATTTCAGAATTATGAGGTACTTATTATAGGTAGAACAGAGCACTGTAACAGAGCCCAGCATGGACATACATACAGAAGAAATACTCTTTATAAGAACCAATATTATTTTTACTTTGGAAATTCTCACATTTCAAGGATAGGTTTTGGTAAAAAACTATGTATTAAAGTATTTCCAAATTAAAGCAACTCAGTGATTACAGATGCAGGTAGTTTTAAAAATATTGTTGAATCCAGTTATATATTTAATGTATCATTTTCATTGAAATGAACATAGCCTGCGGGCACTTGGAATAAAAAAAAAAATCAGTATAAAGCACACATCTCTGATTGAACAGTGGTGCATTATATTGATCATTTCTATTTTTAAATGTCATTGCTAAGAACAAAGTTAAATGTTTCCTTATTAAAAAAAGCAACCCAACAACTTCCTTCAAGAGTTATTTCAAGGTCACAGTAACAACAAAAGTAACAACTCCGAAGTCAGAAAAAAAGGGACATAGTTGGTAATATGACTGGGATATGGTCATGTAGGAAAAGAGAGGTTTCCCTTAATTTACATATTTTGATCTTCATAAAGTTAAACTATATCACTACAGTCCTTAAAATATCTCATCCTATTTGTAATTGACAGTTCCAGCTGCACAACATAGAATACGAATGATCTGTGCAAAAATGAAAGCCCTTCAACTATTTTCCTGCCTAAATATATGAAATAAATAATATGTTGCAGTAGTTCAAGTGCTATGTTTATCTACTACAAAGATAAGACCTAAAGAAAAGTTAACAGAAATGGGAAAGATGGGATTTTTTTCTGAAGTGAGGTAATTTTTATAAGACATACTACTCTCACTTCCTCAAATGCTGAGTATCTGAGTAAATAGTGGACTTTCTGCATAATATACATCAACTCAGATAAAAGCTACCAGAGTCTTAGGAGAGTCAGAACAGAGTGAAATTTAACTGGTTTAGATCTTTGAGTTTTATGGTTTTGAGATTTAGAGGATACTCAGAAACCTCTGCAATGACCTTAGTTTTAAAAGCAATCTTTGCAGTCTTACAAGACCTGCAGAGAATGGTCATGGATAAGTCACTGATGTTTTCATTTAATACATAATTTCATCCATCTTACCCAGATAAAGAAAGAAAAGTAGCATAAATGTAACAAATAAGCACATCATGTTCACTTAACATACACATCTGCACAAAATTACAGCACAGTCCTTGCAATGCTTAAAAGATAATGCAAATTTCGGTGGAATGCAAAAAACAGTCAGAAAAGAGTAAAAATACTACCAAGGGAAGCCTCCAGTAAATTTTTAAGAAGTTACTCTAACCCTCCCTGAAAAGCTTCTTATAACGTGCAGGAGTTCAAAAGCTTTGCAAGGGCTTTAGTCACAGTCATTTCTGTTTTATGTAATCATTTCCAGCAACACGACTTAAGAGCTGGGAGTACTGGATTCATTACATTACAGCAACATGATATGCCATTACATCTTGTCACAGTGCACACATGAATTAATGGTAAAGCAACATAATCACTTTGAAAACAAAACAACTTCGCATCAGCATGCACTTTGTTAGGTAAAATGCACATTTATGACAGTAGCAAACAAGTTGTGCAGACACGTTTTAGTAATGTTTTGAAGTGCAAAAGCATTATTTGTATAATGCAGACGTTGACTGCCCTTGTTCTCATGAGTGATAGAGATCCTCAATTTTTGACTACTGATGCAGATTATATATCAAACAATATTTGTGCATTACTCTCTGTAATTAATTGCTAGACACAGAAAGCTAAAGTTTCAAACATATCTAAAACTACTTACGTGGTTTAGCCAGACAAGGTTATTTAACCAATATATTTTTTCCCAAATGCATAAATTATTAATATTTGACTGCATGCAGAAGGCCAGAAAACCCTCAGTTTATGACATTTTGA